ACAGGAAGTTCCTAAGGAATTCTTAATTAATTCTAATGTAAGCCAAAAGAAAAACAGTGGTTTAGGGCAGGCTTCAGACAAATGACTAACAGCTGTATAGTGGCAGGATAACTGCTTCCTATAAAATGTGTAGGCACCAAGCATGCTGCACCTTCTCCAACCCCAACTTGAAGTAGGCTGAGGAAGTCTTCCTAGAAGTGGCATTCCTGCTCCCATGTGATAGGCAACTAGGAATGAATGAGGCCAATGTGGGTAAGAAGGAAAAGATTATGAAGTGGACAAGACTGTACAAACACTGAGAAGCCAACATCCCCTCTCCACCACACACACACACACACACACACACACTGCATTGTTCTGTGCATTTACTTCAGTGTGACTGAGCAGTGCAAAGGATGACTGACTGGTGTGCTATGAGGCTGGATAGGGAGGCAGAAATCTGGTTCAAGATGTCCTAAATCTAGTTAAAATGTGAAATATTCATTGAGCTAAAAAAAATACACTCTGAATTCCAGACTGTGTGTATGTATGTGCACATGTGCATGTATGCACGTGTACATGTGCTAGTCCTGGGCCTTGAATTCAGGACCTACTTGCTGTTCCTTAACTTTTTTTGCTCAAGACTGGCACTCTACCTAACTTAAGCAACTACTTTACAGGAGTGAAGCTTTTTGGTGGTTAATTGGAGATAAGAGTCTTTTGGGATTTTCAAGAGTCTTTTGGGATTTTTGGCTTGGTCTGGCTTTGAACTGTAATCCTCAGATCTTAGTTTCCTGAGTGGCTAGGATTACAGGTGTGAGCCAACAGCACACAGCTACTTTTTGTACTTTTAAATTCCCCCATCCTCCGGTCTCATTGTCTTTTGGCCCAGTCCATTTATTTAAATGCATCACCTCCCTTCCTAGATTTTAAATGTTTCAAAGGCAGAGTGTACTCCTCATTTTTTTTGTCCCATCTATCGCTAAGCCACTCATAAATTTTTAATATTTTTTTTTTGGGGGGGGGGTCCGGTCGTGGGGCCTGAACTCTGGGCCTGGGCGCTATCCCTCAGCTCTTCAGCTCAAGGCTAGCGCTCTACCACTTGAGCCACAGCGCCACTTCAGCTTTTTTCTTTTTGCTTATGTGGTGCTGAGGAATCGAACCCAGGGCCTCATGCATGCAAGGCAAGCGCTCTACCACTGAGCCACCTTCCCAGCCCCAAATTTTTAATATTATGAGAATGCTTAAAGAAATTTTCTAGGCACGTATAATATGAAGGGGAGAAAGAGAAAGGAAAGAAAACTACCTATTAGGGCAGAGGCAAGAAGTCCCTAAGGCCTTAAACTAAGATATTACATGGAGCCAGGTGTTCTTGGCTCATGCCTATAATCTTAGCTACTCAGGAGGCTGAGATCTGAGGATAGTGGTTTAAAGCCACACCATGCAGGAAAGTCCATGAGACTATTAGAGTTGTGGCTCAAGTTATAGAGCATGAACCTTGAGCAAAAAAGCTAAGGGACTGCACCCAGGCCCTGAGTTCAATCCCCAGTACTAGCCAAAAAAGAAAGAAAAAGAAAAGAAGAAGAAAGAAAGAAAGAAAAAAAAGATGTTGCATGGAGCAACAGGAAGAACCCATGCAAAAGACTAAGAAAAGAGCTAGTTTGAGTATGAACAGGATTAGAACAGTAGTACTTGGAAAGTCTGTCAAGGGCTGTCAAGGGCTCACACTTATAATCCTAGCTACTCAGGAGGTTGAGATATGAGGATCACAGTTTGAAGCAGACCAGGGCAGAAACGTCCACGATACTAATTTCCAATTAACCAGCAAAAAGTCACAAGTGGAAGTGTGGCCCAAATGGTAGTCCACTTGTGAGAAAACCAAGAGAAAATGGAGTCTGAGTTCAAGCCCCAGTTAAGGCACACAAATTAAAAGCAAATAACAACAAAAACTAGGATTTTCTGGAGAAGGCCTGAAAGCTGATGAAGTAGATCTAGATAGGAAAGGAATTTGTACTATAAACAACACTCAATTATGCATGGAAGTTTCTTTCATCCTAACAGATTCCACCTTCCACAGTGTCTCACACCCCCTTCATGTCCCTGAGCATTGTACTCCAGCCCTCCTGGGGCTCTCTTGAAATGGAAATGACAATTTAAAAAATACAATCCTGCCAAGAAGCACATTACATGTAAAACTGGATTATCCAGACCGTTATGCATGGAAAAATATTCTATTAGCTCCAAAACTGGAATGAGGTAGAAAAAAATGCATCTCTAATTCCTTCCCCATGCCCTCTTCTGCATTAGTCCTTTAGGTAGAAACCATGACACTCTTTCCAGACCACTGAACACCATCAGTTTCAATGCAAGAGAGAAAGGACCTGCAATGCCACTGTTTTACTAAAAGGTTATTGCAGAACACTTGAGGAATCCGTGGTTTCTACATATGGAAAAGGTAGGGTTGTTGGCTTCCCAACACTTAAGAGGTAGTAAGCAGCTGGGAATGCGGCTTAGTGGTAAAGTACTTGCCTAGCATGCATGAATCCCTGGGTTCCATTCCTCAGTACCATATACATAGAAAAAGCCAGAAGTGGTGCTGTGGCTCAAGTGGTAGAGCACTAGCCTTGACCCGAAGAGCTGAGGGACAATGACCAGGCCCAGAGTTCAGGCCCTACAACCAACAAAAAAATAAATAAAAAGAAAGAAACCACCAGGCCCACAAACCATACACTAAACCACAGAAACTAATGGTAGTTAAAAGGCCCCACAGTTCAGAAATGATACACCTAGACACTCAATCCTGGAACCAGCAAGTGTTCAGCCCAACCTCAGATGGTTTTAATATGTTGTATCATTGGGCTCTATAATTATGGCTTAACATCTAATTAAATGGTGGGGATGGGAGAAGTGCTGGAATAGAGTGGAAGAAGCTAAGAGTTTAGAGTGCAAAAACTAAGTAATGAAATCTACCTTGCCAATTTACTAGTGACTCTGGACAAATTCCTAAACCTATCCTCAGTTGTTGTTTTTTTCTTCTCATCTGAAAAAAAAATTAAAGAATGTTACAATGCTGCCTAAGAAGACCTTGAAGATTAAGTGTGACACCTGTAGCAGCCTGGAAGTTTCTGGCCTAGAACCTATTAGTATTATTGAGACCACAGCAACAGCTTTTGTTTCAAAAAAAAAAAAAACCTAATTTGTCTATTCCTTGTACTGGTGAAAACCATATTATAGTTTCTTAGAATTTGCCCCGCACAATAAAGAGAAAAAATAAGCTGGGATCCTAGTTTTGCCATGATAACCTTGGGAGGAAAATTGGTTTATATTCTGAAGTCTTAATTTGTCTTCTGGCTAAAAATACCTTAGCTAAGAAGATTGTTGCAATATGTAATGAGAAAAATTATACAAAGCTCCTAGACTAAATCTTGGTGCTTAGTAGGTTCTCATTGCTCCTTGTTAATTTCCTCAATAGAAAAAAAGATGAAAAATCAAAAACCATGAAAAAGATGAAAATCAAAACCATCTATTTTCATTTGTTCATTCTATAAACATGAGTTGTGGACCTACTGCGTGTCATGACACTGAGGACTCAGTGATGAGCAAGACGGATAAGGCTTCTGCTTTCTGGCAACTTACATTCTGGTAGAGGAAGGCAGATGGTAAATGAACCAAGACTATTTCAGAGTGATAAGTGCTCTAAGAAACAGCAACTCAGAAGCTGGGTGCAGGTGGCTCATGCCTGTAATCCTAGCTACTCAGTATGCTAAGATGAAGATTACGGTTGGAAGAAAGCCTGGGCAGAAAAGCCTGAGAGATTCTTACCTCTAACCAGCAAAAAGTCAGAAGTGAGCCAGGTACTGGCTCACACTTGTAACCCTAGCTACTCAGGAGGCTGAGATCTGAGGATTGCAGTTCAAACCCCACCCAGGCAGGAAAGTCCAGGTAACCAGAAAACCGGAAGTGGAGCTGTGGTTCAAATGGTAGAGGACTAGCATTGAGCAAAAGAGCTCAAGGACACTGCCCAGGCCCACGACTGAGAAAAAGAAAAAAAAAAATCAGAAGTGGAGATGTGGCTCAGGGTTGAGTGCAAGCCCCTGTAAGAGCACCACTGAAAAAGGAGGAGTAGGAACAGCAGCAGCCACAAAGAAGACGAGAGGACAGGACCATGTGGAGTTGGTGGACAGGATAAAAAATCAGCTTGGATACAATCCAGGCCCACTGAAAAAATGTCCTTTGGCCAGAAGAGTGACTTCAATTTGTACGACGTTGGGGGGTTAGGACAATTACAAGCCAGACCGACAGCTGACCTACTCCACACCTCCTCTCTGGAGGCTGGTTCTTCTGCAGCTACTTTAAATCATCACTGTATTTAGAACTTAAAGGTCGGTGCGACATCTCTGGGGGCTCCAGCGCCCACGGAAAGCGACAACTTTATAACCCCTGGCGGTTCCAAGAGTCCGAGAGGAGCGCCCGGAATCAGAACGCGACGCTGCGACCCCAGACGGCTGCAAATGCCCTCCCGCCGGGGCGCCTGGAAGCCCGACGGGGCGGTGGCTCTGGATGTCCAGGTCAGGCACCTGTGAGGGAGTCCGGCTAGCGTGGCGCCCGCAGCGACGGAGCCCACCCGCGGATGTGGTACCGAAGCTTCGCGGCGGGTCGGGTTTCCTGGGCCTCCCGCGCTGGCGCAGCGCCTGCGGTCGCCCGGGACGGCTCAGCCGCTCCACGCCGAGTCCGCCCGCGCCCAGGCTCTGCGCCGCGCACGGCTACTTCCGGCGGTCAACCCCCCGCTAGGCTGTCCTTCGAGGGGCAGAACCCCAGGGTGGGTACCCCGGGTCACCCCCAGAGGAAGGGAGCGGTGGCAGCCACCCAAGGCGACCTCCCCGGCCCGGGCGGTGCCTCGCCCGCCCGCTCTCCCCCTCAGAGGAGAGGACTTCGGTCCTCCCGAGGGGACGCCGCACCTCAGCGCTTCGAGACCCCCGCGGCACGCCAGCACCATTCAGACGGAACCCCACGCCGCTTACCAGCGCACTCGGCCCGCGGGGAAGGGAGACCGCCTCGTTCCCGGGTGCCCAGCTCCGGGCTTCGCCCCCCCGATCTCGGCGAGGGCAGACCGGACCTCTCCAGTCCCCGAGCAACGGCGCAGCTGACAGTTCTCGCACCAGCCGCAGGAAACGGGAATGAAGGGACGCCACTCGCGGGTGCACTGCGGAGCGAGAGACCGCGCGGCTCCCAGGTCGCCGCCCGCCCGCCCGCGCCGCGACTGCGCCGCGACCGCGCGACCAGTTCCCAGTACTTTGCCCAAGAACTTCGCGCGCGCCTCCCGGCGAGCAGCCTGAGCCGCCGAGCCAGGGGCGGGAACGAGTGGGAGGAGCCTGCGCCCACCCAGGGGGCGGGTCCACCTAGGGAGGGCGGGAGAGACGGCAGAGTGACCTCCACATCCGCCAATGAGGAGCCACGCCTGGGAAGGAGGTGGGGCGAAGCTGGAGAAATCCTTGACGCGTCAGGAGAGTTGCGACCTGGAGCTTGGGATGGGTAGAAAGGGCGGCGCGCGCTGGGGCGTGGGGAGCACCGGGCTCCCAGTGGCCCAGCCCCGCGTCTGTGTGCCCGTAGGCGCCGCTTGAGTATTAGCCGACTGGTATTTCAAAAGGAAGGAAATGCGGGCTGCGCCGGAGGGTTGGTTTAAAGGGAAGGTTCACTCCACAGATTGCAAAAGGCAGGCTTAGGCCGGGGAGGGGGATGCCTCGAGAGCGCGTGGGCAGGTGGCCAGGGGAGGACGGTGGGCGCCCGGAGTGGACGCCCGGCTCGGAGGCGGTGGCCAGGCCTGCGGAGACCATGGTGCGGGTGGGTGGAGGCTCGGGAGAGGAGTGAGGGGGGAATGTTCCTACTGTTCTTGCAGGTTCCGGGCGGGGCGAGCGGTGCAATTAAAACGCTGGAGCTTGTAGGCGGCCGCCTGTGGCTCACATGTGAAACCTTTTTTTTTTTTGGGTCCGGTCATGGGGCCTGAACTCTGGGCCTGGGCGCTGTCCCTCAGCTCTTCACCTCAAGGCTAGCACTCTACCACTTGAGCCACAGCGCCACTTCCGGCTTTTTTTCTTTTTGCTTATGTGGTGCTGAGGAATCGAACCCAGGGCCTCAGGGTTGCAAGGCAAGCGCTCTACCACTGAGCCAACTTCCTAGCCCCACACGTGAAATCTTAGATACTCCAGAGGCCGAGATCTGAGGATCGTGGTTCGAAGCCAGCTAGAGCAGGAAAGTCCTTGAGACTTGGATCTCTAACGAGCAAAAAGTTGGAAGTGAGGTATGGCTCAAGTGGTAGAGTGCCAGATGAGTGGAAAAAGCTAAGAGACAGTCCCCAGGCCCTGAGTTCGAGTCCTAGTACCTCCAACACTCAGAGAGAGACAGTGAGACAGTTCCTAGGCCCTGAGTTCAAGTCCTAGTACCTCCAACACTTAGAGATAGATAGATAGATAGATAGATAGATAGATAGATAGATAGATAGATAGATAGATAGATAGATAGATAGATGCAGGAGCTCCTTACTAGACAGCAATATCAACCTGGCTTGTCTGCCTACTGGAGCCTGGACCCTCTGAACCCTTGCTTGAACACAAGCCACTGATAATTAGACTATAGGGGGCAGGGCAGAAAGGAAATAAGGATCGCTTGTTAAGTACCATTGTGTGTCAGGAGCAAGTGTGGTCTTGGCGCCTGTGATTAGGGTACACAAGGTTTCTGACCTTACTAAGCTCGCATTTTAGTGGGGAGGCAGACAATCAACAAAAGAATATACTTCTATAAACACTGCTGCTGAAAAACACTGCTGCAGAAAACACTGAAAATGCTACTGAACTGTGAGTGCCGATCTGAGGGCAGAGCTTTCAGAAGTGAAGCTGTGCCTTGGGGCTTCTCAGAGGAGGTAGCTTTCGCACAGTTCTCTGAAGCTCGAAAAGGAGCGGCCACACTCTGTCTCAGGAAGAGCTTTCCAAGCCCTGAGAAGAGCAAAAACAAAGTATTCATCATCTCTGAAGACCCATCACCCAGCTGACAATGCATGGAACTCGCTAGGCTAGGCTTCTGGCTACACACTACCTATTCCAGAAAGCTCAGTTCCTTTCCCAATCGCCACCTGCAGCTGTTGCTGCATCTTCAGTCTCCAAATCAACCCTGAATTAAAGTTTCTTTCCTAAGCTCTGCTATCCACATTTCATTCATTCACTTGGTCCTCTGCTTTGGTGACTGTCTGCTTTGCTTCTGGCAAGAGCTGGGGGAAGGTGCTACCGAATGAACTGGCTGGCGGTGCTGTCTATGTTGGCACACTAACTGGGCTGCAGGCTGCAAACTATGCTGCAGAGGATCCTAAGCCACTCCCATCAACACTCGTGAACATTGTAGAGGAACCATTCTGGCCCAAGTCAAACCATTCCACCTGAATTCAAGGGGACACCTTGCCCACCCCAAATTGTGTTGCCTACGTTGCTCACTACCTTCTCTTTTTAAATAACCCTGCAGAAAGAAGCCAGCATTGCCTTCCCACTCCCTGCCCCTACCTCACTCAAGCTCATTTCTTTCCTTTCTGGTTTTGTTTTGTCGGTCATGGGGTTTGAACTCTGTCCCTCAACTCTTCAACTCAAGGCTAGCACTCTACCACTTGAGCCACAGAGCCACTTCCGGTGTTCGGGTGGTTTATTGGAGATAAGAATCTCACCAACTTTCCTGCCCCGGCCTGCTTTGAACCTCAGTTTACTGAGTATCTAGGATTACAGGCTTGAGCCACAGGCGCCCAGCTTCTTTTCTTTTTTTTCCCCCATCTCCGTTTTTTTACCACCATCACCCTGATTCGTTTTTCTGCCGATTGGCCTTTAATATAAAAGAAATTTCTTTCATTGTTTAGCATCTAGTTCTTGACCTTTTGTTTTTTCCAGTTTCTTCCAAACAGTCGTGTGTGTGTGTATGTGTGTGTGTGTGTGTGTGTGTGTGTGTGTGTGTGTTTCTCTACTGACACAGGCCCTTAATTAGACAGGATGGAAAAGTTATTCATATTCAGATTGTGTCTTGCCTCCAGGAAAGAGGAATCTTACCGTATCTCTTCATTTTCATTTCCTCTTCTAAATAAGCTTCCAGGCACTCTGGCTCCCACAATCAAAAGGGGGAAAATTTAAAGTTGAAACCCACGCAGAGCTAATTATTCTTGAAAAACTTGTTAATGTTCTAAAATTAGCTTTCTCCTGGAGTTTTATTTTAAAGCAATGATCTGGCTGTACTAGAAGATGTACTAGAAGAATCAATGGTTGCATAGTAAAAGTTTCTAGAGCCCTTTTTTGAATTGTTAAACACATATATCTTAGTAGACATTTTCACTGTGGGAATAAATTTGTCTGCAGTTGGCTGAGGGATGTTAATTAGCATCTGAACTTTATAGAAGATAAGCTGGAGCTACTTAAGTTTGCATATCTTGATAGATAAAGGAAGCTGATTGCAATAGAATATAGACATGAACTATAGAGTCTAGAATCAGAACACCTGGCTTCCTGTTTTGTCCTATATATTTCCTGATTCTGAGATCCCTTTCCTACTCTGTAAACTAGAAATAGTAATTTGCACCTAATGGGCTACAGGAAGAGTCTGACCATCTGAAAACACCCACCACCTAGCCTAGCACAGAGTTCTCAACTTCAAGTGGTAACATTTGGGCCAGATAATTATGGGAGAAGAGGCTTTCCTGTAAATTTAATGCATCTCTGCCCTCTCCCCACTAACTGCAGGTAGCACTCTCTTTTTCTACTTGTAACAACCAAAAATGTCTCCAGACACCATCAGATATCCTCTGGAGGGTAAAATCACCTGTCTGAGAACCCCTGGCCTACACATAGCAGATACTCAGGGACTGGACTGCATGGAGGATGACATAGCTCCGTTTGTTTACTGCTTCTCCCTTCTCTGCCTTGTGGCAGAAACTATTAAGTCAAGGCTAGCTTCCTCACCCAGTTCAAATAAAACCTCAGAATCCTTAATACTGCTACAGAAAACCACTAGTGATAGATCAGAGTCAGCAAAGAAGGGGTTCTGAACTACCATCCTAGGGCTAGAGGGCCTTTAAGATCCTAATACCCTTCAGTGTTTTGGAATGGTAACAACAAATGAATGGAACTAGCCTATCATTTCAAAGAGGAATAGGGGACCAGCCCTGAGAGCTTCAGCATTTTGACCATAATTATACGGCCCTGAAGCTGGAGCTCTTCTCCGCAGACGCAGTTCTTTTTTCCCACATCCATCACATCACATCCTCCTAGGGGAGACACAGAAAACATTTCTCTGGAGCAGAGATGTACACACTCCTACTCCTCTCCCTCCTTCACTTTCAAGTGGGGAAATGAATCAAGCTATTCCATTGCATTATGAACACCTCAAAACCAAACTTCAGAAAGTGCTAGTAAACTCAAGACAAGAGTTGTGCAAGAATTCAACCACTGCTGGAATTAAATATAGGTTAATTTCCTGCATGGTATAAGGAACCATTCTTAGCAGGTACTTGAAGAGCTAAAAAGATGAAGCAGTGAGTGTTCTTGCCCTTGTTGCTTTTACAGTTTCATCTATGGGGCAGATCAAATATGGGTATAAATAACTACAGTGCAAACTAAAGAATAGAAAATGTCCTAAAAGAGGTACTAAAAATGTGTTCAGAGAAGGGAGAGATTATTTTGAGAACTAGGAGCAGAGAGTCACTTCCTACATGCCTTTGTTGACATTTTTAACTTTTGATAAAAGATAATTGTGTTTATTATACTAAAGTCATCCTCATAAAGGAAGTTGCCACACTGTTAGGTTTCCTAGTTCAGAGACAGTTCCTGCTTAATATAACTGGTTATCTATCATCAGTGTGCCTAAGATCATAGTTCATTCTAATTGTGAGTCATTTTTATCAGATATTTAAAATTTCTGGGATGTTCTAGATATTTCACCTTTAGGAACAATAAGATGGCTCTTTTCCAAGCAAATATTTGACAGAGCCAGTTTCTTAAGCATGATCATATCTTAGGAGCATACTGTAAAAAAAGGAACATATTGGGGTTGAAGAAGATCAGAGTTATACACAAATCACTGAACAGATTTTCCTTCAGGACTGAACAACCTCAGGAGTCTGGCAGAGCATTTCATTAAGTACTAACTCTAGAGCACATGCATGTCCTGTGCTGTAAATACAAAGTGTAGTAATAGCTCACAAGTAGTAATCATTTCTGTGTCCAGCACTGAGATGCCA